GGCACGAGCCGGGCGCCAGCTACCCCGGGACAACTGCTCGGGCTGTCGCTTCCCGAGCCCGGAGCTCGTTTTGCAGCGTCACCTCTCAGAGGTCCTGCCAAGGGCCGGGCTAATGAGAGAGAGCTCCAAGAGGAGGTGCCAAGAGGGGTGAGGAGACCCTGCGGGAATGTTGTCGGGGGATCAAGCGTGGCAAAGGGCTCGGCGCGGCTCCCGGAAAGGTTACGGCCGGCCGGGAAGCGACAGCTCGTTACCTGCGAAGGACTCCGGTGGGGAGTAGAACTGCCCGTCCGAGAGGGCTCCCGGGTAGAGCAGGGGGCCCCGCGCGGCCGCAGCCTGCGCTGCCAGGTACCCTGCGAACCCAAACACACGGGGTTAGCACGGGCAGCGTCCCACAGCGCGGGCTCCCGGCGTTCCTCCCCGCCAAATGCACCCCGCTTTAACCACAACCCGGCAGCCACGCTCTCCCACACACAGCTGGCCTCTTCGCACTGCCACCAGCCAGCCCACAAGCTTCTCAGCTCCTCTTGCCTCATCTTTCTCGTCTTTTGTTCGAGACGTTTTATCTGCGTGGAGATCAATGAGCTCTTTTGCCTGTCAAATCCAAAGGCGATTAAGCATCTAATTAAATAAGAGCTTCCCCTGGAAGCAATTTGGAACCTGAGCCTAATCCAATAGAGGCATTAAACGCTTGATCATTTTTCATCTTTAAAGCCTCCTTGCAAGACCCAAACATCCTCTGGTGTTTTCCAGTCAGTCAATGCATTTCTGATCGAGTCTCTCTTGACAAATACTCCTAACATTAYGGGCCATTTCCTGGTCTTCTTTTGTCGGTTAAGACTGCGAGAAAGACCAACTCCCTGGCCTGTACCAAGCGCCMCTGCTTTGGCAAGGGGCAGCTGTGCGAGTCCAGGCTGAGCATCCACCCCCCAGGAGGATCCTCGGAGTCCTCAGGCTCAACCCTCCTTTCAGCCTGCCTGCAATAACCTGAAACTGTAAAACTGCACCCACCGTGACCCGCTCTGAGCACCTGGAATGTGTTTTTCACTAAAGCACACCTTTCTTCAAGGCCTCCAACCCAAATCCAGAGACAGATCCCAAGAAGTGGAGAGGCCAGCGGTCCTGCTGGCATTTGTGCCAGCACTTGGAAAGTCTCTTTGACGCAGAGGTGAGCTCTATTTCCAATATGTCTGGCTTCAGTATTCAGACTTTGGGGAATTTGGCAYGCTTTTCTCCACTATTATCCACAGATACCTATCAAGGTATCTATCAGAAAGCCCAGGCCTGGTAGTTTAATCTGCCAACTCCTACCAGGAAGSAGCAAAGTACTCACATCGTTCCTCTTCGGCTTCCTGAGTTAGGACTTTAAAATCCAGGAACCAGGTCTCCAGCCAAGCAATGACAAAGGAGACGATAGGAAGTAAATAGCCGAAAGCCCCTTTGGTCAGAAGCTGAGTGGAAGAGAGAATAAAAACACAGGTGGCTTAGGCGAAATGGAAAAGAGCAGCATCAAATAATCACAAAGCGATCCCCCGGGAGTACAAGGAAACCAACCTCTGAGAGGATGACCTTCACAATCAGGAAAGCACTGGATACCAATGTAGTCACCTGAAAAACACAATTACGAAGGTCAGACCCCTACAAACTCTAGGCGGAGAGGGAAAACTGAGACGAGAAAAGGAGAAAATGGGCTTCTTACCGCTATGACCCACCAGTGGCGCAGTCTCAGGATGGCGTAGGCCAGCAGCAGCACAGAAAATCGGAAGAAAGCCAAGACCTTCAAAAACAAASAGCCTTTGCTGGGCCGTGGGACACGCAAGACCCCCGTTTCCTCGGGCCAGGCCAGCCGCGGGGCCGCAGGAAGATCCCYGCTCCAGGGACCAACCTCCTCGCCCTGCTCCCGGCTTGGGGCTCTCTCCTCCCCTGTGGCACTCTGTGATACTCACAAATATGTCGAAGAAAGACGTCTTAAACTCATAGTYGATGATTTCGTTCTTCAGGTTCTTCTGAATGCCGTCCTTGGTCTGAAGGGGAGACAGGAAACGAGAAAAGGCTCTGGAGTGCAGCGATAAGGATCTAGCGGGAGGACAAAGGCGAGCAAGCAGCGTCCACGGGCTGCTGCCGGGTCGGGCTACGCACGAGGCTCGTGGGTGCCCGGGGCGAGCGCCACGCGGGCTCGCGGCGAGCACGGGGCCGCGGGAGGACAGCGCAGTGCCTGGCACCCACTGCTAATCACAGGAATCAGGAAGCCAGAGCTGGGCACCCAACTCACAGAATCCCAGGATGTTCCAGGTTGGAAGGGACCTCTCGAGATCATCCAGTCCAACCTTCCTGCTCTGGCAGGGACACCCAGAGCACAGGGCGGGTTTGGAGACCTCCAGAGAAGGAGACTCCACAGGCTCCCTGGGCAGCCTGTCCAGGGCTCTGTGACCCTCACAGTGCACAAGTTCCTCCTCACCTGGACATGGAAAGTCCATTTGAGATCCCTCCGTGGAGGCGACCTCGCACCGGCCACCGGCTCCTCTGGCCTGGCACGGCCGCTGCCGTCGTGTCGGGGCAGGACGGTTGGACCAGGAGATCTCGAGAGGGCCCTTCCAACCCTAACTGTTCTGTGATTCCTCGTGGGAATCCTTTCCTCATCTCCTGCTGTGCCCATCACTTTGGCGTGTGACTGGAGTTACACGGGTGGAAACGCAGAGCAAACAAAAGCCGAGGGAAACGGCTCCTTCAGCAGCTTCAGAAACGCAGCCGCTGAGGGAGGTTCCTCCGGAGYTGGAGGTTCCGAACATCTCTCCCGCGGGGCTCACTCCCAAACGYGGAATTGAAGCTGCAATCGCGCCCCACACAGAGCGCTGAGGGAAACGGAGAGGGGAGGCCGAGCAGCGGGGTAAAAGCACCAGGGATTGCAGACAGGAGCACGCAGAGCCTGCGAGGAGGCAGAGGAGCGCGGAGCCGGCTCGTCTCACCCCCGAGCAACGCGGGGTCCCTTTGACCCCATAAATCCTGTTCCCGGGAGCTTGGAACCGCTCTTTACGAGCGAGCGGATGGCTCAGGTAACTGGAACAAATGTTTCACCTTTAGGCTATTGGTTTGAACACAGCCCAGCTGGCCTGGAAGCTGCTCCACGCTGACAGCTGTTTGATGATGTGTGAGAAACAAGTTGGTGGATCTCAGGCCAGTTCTTGGCAGCCTGGTGTCCTGGCACCCTCTGCTCACACCGCCCAAGGACAGCAGAGGCAGCGGGAAGTGGTCCCTCTAGGTCAGGGCTGCGGCTTCATACTCAGGGATAGGGGGGCAATGCAGGTCTGCACTAYTGCAGTGTCTGCTCTGGGGCTACAGGACTCGAGCCAGCTTTGAGGAGCTGCCACCAAAAACGCCCTTCCCATCACTACTAGATCTCTGCTGCGAGATGTTTCCCGAGGAATGAGCACAACCAAAGCTTGGGATTACAGTTACTGGGCTGCATTTCAGTTTAAATGAACGTCATTACCTGGAAAAAGCAAGAACTGTCTGAGGCATCTCTATCTCTGAGAGGAGCAAGCTCGCAGCATTACGGTTTGCAGGCAGCAGGCATTTAACGAGGGCTGATTTGCTCAGCTTATCTTGCAGCAAAGGGAATCATTTGATAAAAAAAGCATTAGTCACGACATATACTTGTCGCTCTTCATAACTAGGCAAATAAGCTGTCCTAATAGCTTTAAATATGCAGCATCTCCGCTCAGGGCCCAAATATCACCACTTAGTCACTCACTAATGGTTACCTGCAAGCCCCACGCTCAGAATTGCCCGAGCTATTGCCGCGTTATTTCCCTAGGGCTGCAAATTTTGATTTGCAGGCAGGGCCCCTGGCAGAGAACAAGGGAGACAAGAGCGTGAGGCCGGGGTCCAAGCCAGGCGCGTGCAATTCCGACAGCATTGCTGGAATGCTGGCCCGGAGCTGCTTTTTCCTAGCTGCGAGGGGGGCAGGGGTCTCTCCAGGCTCTGGGCACCACGTTGCTGTTTGCAGCGGGCCGGGCAAGCGACCTGCTGGCCAGGACAATCTGTTAAGTGCAGACACTGCAGGAGATAAACAGGACAGAGATAAGAGTGGCTGGAGCTCTGATAAACAGAGGCCAGCCAGGGAGGGCCGCACGCAGCCGCGGACGGGGCTATCTGCTCATCTCGCCCTTCCGCTCGGCGTTCTCCCTGGAAGGACACGCAGTACCTGCAGCCTCAAACCTGCCACCGACGCAGGCGAAACCAGTCAGGACCAGTTCGGGGGGAAAAAAAAAAGAAAATATACAGAAAATGAACAGTAAGGTCAACGTGACAGGAAAGGAGCGAATAAACTGGATGTCCCTGTCACTGCGGGGGTCGCACGCAGCGAACACAGCACCCGGCCGTGGGGCGCCCTTCGCTCGGCCGAGCTGCATCCCGGGTTTCCAGAAGCTGGGAGGAGCACCAGGGTGTTGGGATTAAAGCTCCAAGGGCTTTTTGGTGGGTGGGTGGGTGGGGGAAGGCCTATCTGCACATCCCACCTCACTCTGCCCACGCCTGGGGAGCGAGAACATCCAGCAAGGATCCGTGGAGATCTCCATCCGTGGAGAGCCAAGATTGGGACCCCTCAAACAGGGCAACTAATGCAGATGGACTTGAATTTCGGAAGCGTGGTGCTACGAGGGGAAATACCCCATGCATTTGCTTCCCCCAACTTACATTGAGCTCGATTATCCACAGCAGGGAGATGAAGAGCAGATCAAAGGTGACGAAGAGGCAGAAGGTCCTCCTCACGTCCGAGATGGCCTTCCTCTTCTCCGGGGAGAGGTAGCAATAGGGAGAGAGGCCTTGGCTCTGGGAGAAGGACGTGCTGATGGAGGCGATGGCCGGGAGGCTCCGCTCCAGCTGCTGCTGCAGGTCTGTCGGCTTGCTCATCCTCGGCCCAAGCGCCTCGGGGCCCACGTCAAGCGGGGCGGCATGGGCGAGCCGCGCAGCGCGTCACCTGCGAGGAGACACCACGGGCACCCTCAGGAGCCGCGGGGCCGGAGCCCCAGGCACACGAGTGCCAGCGGGAAGCGCCCGCGCGGCCCCTTCTCCTCCTCTCCCGTTGAGGGCAGCCGGTCGGAACGGCTGACAGCGACTCGCGGCTTGCCGGAGCGCCCCGCGGGTGCAGGGAAGGGAAACGCGAAGCCGACGCGTTTGGAAACCCGTTTCCAAGCCATCTCGCCAGCCCCTGTGTTGGGATTTTCAGCCGGCGCGCGAGGAAGGAGGAGGCCGGAATGGGCCCGGAGCTGCGGGATCCCGGCCGAGCCCCACGTCCCACAGCAAAGGCACCACTAGGGACCTTTGGGATTCTTTCCCAAACGCTCATGCTCAGGGACACAGGGCTTGCAAGGAGCTGCATCAACCCCTGCTCCCTCCAGGACGGGGGAGGATTCCCGGGATTGCGYTTGTCTACGGCAAATCCCTCCTGGAAAAGCCCCGGGACCCAGGGGAAGGGGGAGCGGAGTGGCTGGAGACGCAGCCGGAGCAATTCCAGCAGGGAGCAACCGCCGGGCGCGGCTGGAGCCGCCCCCAAATCCCGGCCCCGCGCGGGGCGTCCCCGGGAGCGGCGCCTCCGGACGGCGGCTCCGGCGGCTGCGGCACTTGGGATGAGGAGCGCGGGGCCGCCTCGGAGCCAGGCACGTTCCCAACATCGGCGCGCGGAACAAGGCAGCGGCTGGAGCCCCCGCCCCGGGCGCTCGCCGCTCCGACACCCTTTTGCTCCCTGCAACTCCAGAGCGCTTCCAAACCACCCGGCACGGCTCCCACGGATCCAGCTTTCCGCACGAGGCCGGCGGGAGACAGCGTGTCCATAGCTGTGTGCCCGGCAGGAGCGGGGYCGGGGGTGTCCCCGCCAGCGCGGGCGCAGGGGACGGAGCGGGGCCGGGTGCAGGTCCTTCCACAGGGACCTGCGGAGCTTCCCCGGGCGCAGGGAATGAGTGGCTGCCGCGGGGAGCCGGCGCCGAGCAGGAGCCCCCGGCGCGGGGCCGCCCGGGACACGGGCCGGCTCCGGGAGCCGCTGGGGGCGCGGGACGGGCGGGCGGAATGCCCTGCGGGATGGGGGCTCCGGGGAGGCAGCGGCGGCTCCGCGCGCCGGGCAGAGCCGTGGAGCCAGCACCGGGATGCGGCGGCTTCGGCAGCGCCCGCGGCTCCGGCAGCGCCTGCGGCCCCGCGGCCCTTTGCAAGGGGAGCAGAGGCCGGACGGGGGCTCCGGTCACGGGCAGCGGGCAGCGAGGGGACGTGGGGACGTGGGGCGAGGGCGGCCGCGAGGGGCCGTGTCCCGCCGGCTCCGTATTCCAAGGGCTCCGTGTCCCGCCGGCTCCGTGTCCATGTCCGGACAGGCTCCGTATCCCGCTGGCTCCGGTTCCGTGTCCCATGGGCTCCGTGTTCCACAGGCTCCGTGTCCGGACAGGCTCCATGTCCCGCCGGCTCCATGTCCCGACAGGCTCCGTGTCCCGACAGGCTCCGTGTCCCGACAGGCTCCGTGTCCCATGGGCTCCATGTCCCGCCGGCTCCGTGTCCCGACAGGCTCCGTGTCCCGACAGGCTCCGTGTCCCGCGGGCTCCGTGTCCATGTCCCGCCGGCTCCGTATTCCATGGGCTCCGTGTCCCCCCAGCTCCATGTCCCGACAGGCTCCGTGTCCCGACAGGCTCCGTGTCCTGCCGGCTCCGTGTCCCGCCGGCTCCGTGTCCCGCCGGCTCCGTGTCCATGTCCCGCCGGCTCCGTATTCCATGGGCTCCGTGTCCCCCCAGCTCCATGTCCCGACAGGCTCCGTGTCCCGCGGGCTCCGTGTCCCGCCGGCTCCGTGTCCTGCCGGCTCCGTGTCCCGCCGGGCCTGCGTTCCCTCGGCG